GGTACAGCACCCATTTATGATCAACTCAGCAAAATGGGAATAAATGGGGCATTCCTCAACGTAATAAAGGCCATACATGAAAAACCTACAGCCAACATCATACTCAATGGGCAAACACTAAAATCTATCCCACTAAGATCAGGAACACGACAAGGATGTCCGCTTTCACCACTTCTTTTGAACATTGTATTGGAAGTCCTAGCCACAGTGGTCAGACAAGAAAAAGAAATAAAAGTATCCAAATAGGAAGGGAGGAAATAAAACTATCATTGTTTGCAGATGACATGATAGTGTACATAGAAAACCCTGTAGACTCTACCCAAAAACTCCTCAACATAATAAGTGAATTTGGCAAAACAGCAGGATACAAAGTCAATATTCAGAAATCAAAGGCATTCTTTTACACCAGCAATTAAATAAAAGAAGAAGAAATCAGAAAAAAATACCATTCGATATAGCAACAGGAAAAATAAAGTACCTAGGAATAAATTTAACCAAGGAGGTAAAAGACCTGTACACAGAAAACTATACAACATTGAAGAAAGAAACTAAGGAAAACACAAATAAATGGAAGCATATACCGTGCTCATGGATTGGAAGAATTAATATCATCAAAATGTTCATACTACCCAAAGCAATTTATAGATTCAGCGCAATCCCTATTAAGATACCAATGATGTATTTCATAGAAATAGAATAGATATTTCAAAAATTTATATGGAACCATAAACAACCCCGAATAGCCGCAGTAATTTTGAGAAAGAAACACAGAGTAGGAGGGATCACAATACCGGACATCAAACTATATTACAAAGCCATTATGATCAAAACAATCTGGTACTGGCACAAGAACAGACCCATAGACCAGTGGAACAGAATAGAAAGCCCAGATATAAGCCCAGGTCTACATGGGCAACAAATATTTGACAAAGTGGGCAGAAGCATAAAGTGGAGTAATAATGTCCTCTTCAACAAATGCTGTTGGGAGAGCAGGACGGCTACATGCAAAAAATTGAAATTTGACCATCAGCTGACACCACACACAAAAATAAACTCAAGATGGATAAAAGACTTAAATATAAGTCACAACACCATAAAAGTCCTAGAGCAGAACATTGGCAGGAAACTCTCAGATATCCCACGCAGAAATTTGTTCACCAATATGTCTCCTAAAGCAAGGGACATAAAAGAAAAAATAAACAAGTGGGACCTCATCAAAATAAGAAGCTTCTGCATGGCTAAAGAAAACATCAGCAAAATGAAAAGGGAACCAACCGTATGGTAAAAGATATTTGCTGATGATACATCACATAGAGGTTTGATCTCCAAGATATATAAAGAACTCACTCGACTCCACTCCAGGAAGACAAATGATCCAATCAAAAAATGGGCAAAGGACCTGGGCATACGGTTTTCCAAGGAGGAGATACAGAGGGCCCAGAGACATTTGAAAGGATGCTCGGCATCACTAGCCATCAGAGAAATGCAGATCAAAACCACCATGAGGTACCACCTCACACCAGTCAGAATGGCCATCATAAACAGATCAACAAACAACAGGTGCTGGCGAGGCTGTGGAGAAAAGGGAACACTAGTGTACTGTTGGTGGGAATGCAGACTGGTGTAGCCATTGTGGAAAGCAGTGTGGAATTTCCTCAAAAAGCTGAAAATGGAACTGCCTTTTGATCCAGTGATTCCCCTGCTCGGACTATACCCTAAGAATCCCCAAATGCCAATTCAAAAGAACTTATGCACCCCAATGTTCATAGCAGCACAATTTACAATAGCCAAGTGTTGGAAGCAACCTAAATGCCCATCAGTAGATGACTGGATCAAAAATTATGGTACATTTACACAATGGAATACTACGCAGCAGAACGAAAAAAAGAACTACTAAACTTCCTGACAGCATGGATGGAAGTCGAGAGCATTATGCTAAGTGAAATAAGCCAAAGGGCGAAAGACAAATACCATATGATCTCACCTATAAGAGGAACCTAACCAACAATAGAAAGATGCAAGGAAAATAAGAACAGTAACACTGAAAGGACAAGAAACCAACAGCGACAAGAGGGAAGTAGGGAGAGGGGGCCGGGGAAAATGAAGGGAAGTTGAAAGTCAAGGAACATATAGCAAGGACTCATGGACAAAACCAAAGGGGAAGAGCTGAGGGGAGGGGGAAGGGATAGTGGTGGCGGGAAGGCAGAGACAAATGTATTTGAAAAAAATAAAATAAAATAAAATAAAGAAAGAAAGAAACAAAAAGTATAGCGCAATACACTGACGGGATGAGATATGCACTTGGAGAAGCATTCGGGCACAAGAGCTGGGAACTACCTTGTGAGAATCACATGGGGCGGTATTTCTGCCAGGGAGGGTCAGGGGCCTGTTGACCACAGCTGCTCCCATGGCCTCAGCCAGCCCAGGCATGGCCCAGCAGTATGACCACATGGCTTTGGGGTTTTGTCCTAAGAACGTGTGTGCATTTTTTATAATGAGTTATGAACCTAGAAGAAGGGCTTAATTTTCTTCTTGTGCAAGTAGAAAAAATATTAACACATTATTATTAAAAGAGGAGGCAAACACTATGCAGTCAAAAAAAGGAAATAAAAAGTGCTATTGAGATGTGTAAAGTAAAAAATTATATAATTTTTTCTTAAGTTTGGTGTGTTTGTAGTATTTACCAGCTTTTAAAAATTTATTGATTTTTTTCTTGTTCTAAATACATTTTGTACCTAATTTTGTACTTTTTTAAAAGAGGGTCTTCTAACTGTCTATGCTTTAAACCCTGCCAATCCTGGATCCTTCCCCTGGGGGAAGGAATTCATAATTTTTAGAAAATGTCTTGTTTCCCTTTTGTAACAAATTTGCATTTTAGTCACACCTAAGCTATGACTAATTTCTCAAAATGGCCAATTGTACCATCATACAAGGCCTCTCAGAGCCAAAGGTATACACCCCCAACACAGCATCTGTCTCTGGTATCACTAACGAAGCAGAGCTGTGGCCCCCACCCACAAGACCTAGGCTGGGAATCCCTCTCTGGTGCTCACATGAATGTGCAGAGTGAGTGTGCTTACTCCCAGCCTCTCTACTATCTCTCTACACCCAGCCAGATAGGTCCCATTGAACTTTAATTGGATCTTCCCAAACACATGCCCCAAAATGGACAGACCAGCTTGCCCAAAGCAAGTCCTCCTGTTACCAGTGGGCCCTCCAAATACACTTCTGCCCCAGGGTACCCACACATGCTATTCCCTTGCTGGATGGCTCCCATTGCCTTTAGGTCTGGTCAAATTTCTGCTTCACAGCAAGGCCCTTCGTCACTACCCAGCATACGACAGAACCAGGTGCCCCGACCAGCATGCTCTGTTCCCTTCTCTGTATGCACCAATGTCCTGTGAAGTTCCCACTCAATGGCTCAGTGTCTGGTTCTCCCACCGAGATGCAGCCTCCACAAGGCAGATGCTGGTGTGGCTAACGTCTTCACCCCAAATGCCCAGAATGATATCAGCATTTGGTGCCTCAGACAACTACGGATACCAGTAAATACTGGTTCAAAGAGGGACATGTCAGTTTAAATAGTTGGAAAGTAGGCAGGTAACACATTCTTTAGGAAAATGTTAATGAGGCCTGGGAAGAATCAGTGGGGAAGGAACTGACAGCTGGCAGAGACCCTGGGTGGTCCCAGGGCAGGTGTTACTTGCAGCACCCCTTGTCCAAGTGGGGAGCAAGTGGCCCTCTCTGACTGCAGCTGATCCCCAGTGACCTGAGACTGGGTGTCTGAACCAGCAGACACTCATTGTTTAGATTATGCAATTTGGGATGACAACACACCAAGATGCTATGTACATAGTTCCATGACATGTGTGTTGGAAATTATTCCTAAGAAGATTGTAAAAATCCAAACCTCAGGGTGCTACACCAAGAAAAAACTGTCTCCCAGAGCACAGAGTTTCTGCTGGCAGCCCTTACTGCGTCCACTAAATCATCATTCCATTTACTGCTGGTGCTAACTCAGCTCTCTGTACTTGTTCTTAGGATTATTTTCTTTAAAAAAAGTGTATGTTAAGATCATTTCCTAAATAATAAGTATTATGGAAAAGTCTAAGTAAAATTGTTTAAATAGATACTTTAAGATAACATGTTTCTAGGAAATGTTTACAAAGTCAGCTGGGTATGACTGCCTGTTCATGGGGCTCCTTGGCCCTTTGTTAAGTGTCCAAGATGAGAACGGGGCACTTGTCCACTGAAACGCCCAGGTAGCATCTCTGAAGGGTCACTGAACAGTGACAGAGCTGACTGTGCCCTGCCCATAGTGCCGCTGTGTCGCCTTAGACAGAACACCTTGGGTAATGAGATGGACACCTGCCCAGGACAGGTCCTTCCCTTCTCTTGACCACAGACTCTGTCCTGAGGTGGCCAGTATTTCTAGGACCTCAACACTGAGATCTACCTTGATCACTAAAGGTAACAATGAGCAGGACTTTGGATGCTCACCTCATCCCTGAGATGATAGGACTAAAGTCCATAAACCAGGTTGTGATCAAATGCCTGTACTACCTTTCCCATGAGCTGCTCTCAGTCAACTTTCTTTAATACCTGCTCTGTTGGCACTTAGTTCCAAGAAAAACAAAAGTAAAGTCTAAAATCTTCAGGGAAATGTCAGTGAAAAAACTGTGATATCTTTGGTTTAAATGAATAGCCACAGATATTGTTATGTATTCTGTATTTGCCACTAAAAGCAGACTAAGAGGCTGAATAACATTATCTTTAAATTACGTCCCTCAGTGCCCAAGAAAAGTGTTCATTTTGGGGTCTGACTAGGCAAAACAAACACTGAATTACAAGGGATGGCTTTCAATGGAAACATGTCCTGGCAGGCCAGCATGTGTGGCTACTTCCTGAGTTTGTGGGCCTAGTAATGAAAAGCCTGAGTTACCCCTGATGGCCCGAAAAGGCCTGGAGGTGTGGATTAGAGGAAAAGACACAATACTTACAAAAATTTTCCATTTGTCTTTGATCCTATCAGGACAATTTGCTCAGATTCATCCCGAGAGATTTTTCCGTGGAACCAGGGCATTTTCTCGTGGGCTGTGGTGGCGATCAGCTTCTCCAGCTGAGGCTTCTGGCTGATAATGGCCTGCTCCAGAGCTTGGCCCTGCCACGAAGTGGGAGAGCAGAGCAACACTGCGTTAAATGAAAAACAACAGTGAAATCATTTCCAATCTAAGTCCTGACATGACAAAATTCAGTCAAATGTGTTTGTTCATTCACTCAATAAATAAAGCCAATAAGATCTTATAGATTACTTAAATACCTTCAATGTGTAAGCAACACAATAGATTTTAGAATACTGAGATTTATTGGTCTTCTAAAAGCACCAGCTTTAGAACCACCTGGTATAATCCATGAGGTATAGAGAACATGCCTCTTGCCCTCCTTGGATCAGTCATCTACTAGAACTCATTGTTCTGTATTGAGCTTGATCATCTACTCACAATTGAGAAGCATTAAGATGTGTGCTTTCCTGTCTGCCTCTTAAGGCTGCACTCTGTGCCCATACAAACTGGTGCCTGGAACTGCAGGCTCTGTGATCACAGAAAATGCAGGATCAAACCTTGACACTGTGGGAACGACTGATGTGAAAACAAAAATGAGAGAGCCGCTGACAGCTGAGTGAATTTGCATCCTCATTGTTCTTAATGGGAGAGAACTGTATATTCTGCACAGCAGTAAATGAAGAACCAAAATTTGATTATTTGAAGTTACAGAAAGAACCACAAAAGCTTTGGCTGAGTAGCTTAGTTGGTCACAGTGTTGTCCCAACATGCCAAGGTTGCAGGTTCGGTCCCCAGTCAGAACACATACCAAGAAACAACTAATGAATGCATAAGTGGAAGTAAAGTGAATAAATAAGGGGAAAAACAAACTTATGGTTTCTCTCTTTCAATTCAATAAATTTAAGAAAATTTAGAAAAGAACCACAAGGAATAAAAAATAAAAATATAACCAGTACAAACTAGGAGAAGGGAGGATGGTAATATAGAAGGGCACGTGAGTATGGGAATTTTCTCATGCCTCACAAATGAAACACAAAAACCAAAGCAGTGATAGGCTACATACCATAGAGGCCTGTAAAGCAAAGCAAGCAGAGGTCAAAGTGAAAGGGCATGGGCTAATACCTGTGACAAAGAGAACTGCTGACAGGGGAGCCACACAGCTGACAAGAAAAATGTGCTGTATTGAGTGAAAAAAGCCTGTCTGAAAGGGCTACATGCTGTATGAGTTCATTTATATGGCATCCCGGATAGGCAAAACTACAGGACAGAAATCAGATGAGGAACTTCTGGGGCTAGGGTCAAGGGTGATACAAGGGTGCCTGATGGATAATAGAGCTGTTGCACATCTTGCGTGTGACCAGGGCTACGTTATGCTATGTGTTTGTCAAAATTCATAGCACTGTACACCTACAAAGGATGAATTTTATGATGTATAAATTACAACTCAATGAATCTGATTTACATGACTTTAAAAAGAATAAAAGGGTGGTCTAACACATGTCCATAAATGCTACTGAAAAATACTGGGCACACAGTATTACAATATGTCTGTAAGATTGACTTTAGTATAGAACATATTAAAGGAGTAAAAAGAGTCAGAGAATATAATCCTCAAAAGCCTAGATAGTCATAACTCTGTATGTGTCAGCTAACACAGCAGAATGTGGGGCACACATATCCAGGAAGCTCAAGAGGAATGGTTGAGCACAGAAGTCTGAGCAGGAGACCACAGGAATGTAAGCTGTTGCAGCCTATAGATGTGCAAGGTGTTTCTGGATGGCAAGCTGTCAATACACACAAATTAAACACATACTCCCCTTCTCTGAGGCAAACCCAGCCTGTTCAAGTTTATCCTGCAGGTGCTGCCTGACAGCTCAGAGGGATGGGTGCAGAGAGATGTTATTAATAGCATTATTTGTAAACAATGGAAGTTAAATAAATTATGGTGCATAGAAGGGAATATCAGGCAGACAAAAGAGGTTAATATATGTGTCGACACAGGAAGTTCTGTGAAAGAGGTTACAAAGTTTTAAAAACCAGTGCCCATCGTGCCTAGTATGACCCCCCTACCCTTAGGTGAAAAAAGACCAGGAGATGCCTGCGAAGTCTCTCGAAAAGGGCTCGGCATGAACTGGGTGACAGTGGTTTCCTGTGGTGGAGAAACCCACATCGCTGGCACACAGGGGCTGCCCTCTCAACTCTGACCACAAGAAAGGAAAGGCTGCCTTCTTGGAGCAAAGCATTTTTTGGCCCAAGTTGATGACTAAGTCTGCTTATCTGAGGCAGCAATGTATGTCTCTGCTGTATGGGCTGGGGTATAGAACTGCAGAGCCTGTGCAAAACTGTACATAGTGGCGGGACCAGTGCAGCCCACCTGCAGGTTCCAGGTCTGCTTCACATACTCCCGGATGAGGTTCTCCTTCAGGTCCTCAAAGGGTCCAGTCTTGGGCTGCACCCCAGGTGGCCGGTTGAAGGGTTTCTTGAGGAGGCAGACGAGGCCATCTGACTCCTGGGAGTGGTAATGGCAGAGCTCAGCAGGGCTGGCATGTGCCCTGCCACCCGCGATGGCATAGGTCCCATTCAGCTCTCGCTCAATGGTGTAGTGGTGCGCTTTGCGCCCGTGTGCCACTGACAGAGCGAAGCCGCCCAGGTAATTGCGGCTCTGGCGCAGCAGGTAGAGCCCATCACTCATGCCACCTTGGACCAAGTAGTCCTCAGCCTCCTCCCGAGTGATGTTGCCAAAGAAGAAGGGCAGGTGGTCAGCCATGCCTGCAGCCATGCCTGTCTCCCCTCACGGCCAAGGGCACACAGTGTCTACCTGTCAAAACAGAAGGACATCAGTCAGCACCCACACAGCAGAAACAGTTGTAAAACTGCCAACCTTTGACACTGGAGCCAGGCCCTCCATCAGGAGATGCCCTTTCTTCCTGGAAATTGGCCTACAGCCCTAACTAACCTGCTGTCCACCCTTCTGCACACATAATCATTAGATTTCAAACCCACTCTCTCAGCATGGAACCTGAAAACAGAACATCGGACAAATATGGCCACAGAAACCTTTTGGTTTTTTGGTGGAATAGGAGAATTCTAAGAGACACATTAAAAAGAGAACTCTCACTGCAAAATGAGGCTTAGGAGCTGGTCCTGATGGTCAGCAGGGACATGGCAGGATAAGCTTATGCCCATTGCTCTCTCAAGGTGGAGACAGCAGTAAGGAACAATTGCTGCTGGTCAGAGCTACATGCAGGGAAGATGTCGCTGAACACTCTTCACCTGAACGGCAAATGTTTACTATCTTATACACTTGTAGCTAGACACCAGGGAGTTGAAGTGCTGACCATGTGTATACACCACATAACACACCTCTGGCCAAGAAAAGGGACCTACAAGCCTCTGTCCTGAGGCATGCAGAATGGCATCCTCCCAGAACCCCTGGCCCTGGGCTGCACACTCTCCCCTTCCTGCCTTCCTTCAGGTCACTTCTGGACACCTGCATGTAAAATGCCATATTGAAGAAATAGTGCAAGTTTCACATTTGATGAGGCACCTGTCACAGAAGATACTTTTTCACTAAACAGACACACACACACGCATACACTAAGATACATACACACACAGAAAACACACAGGCACACAAAAACACAGACAGACACTCGGTAATGTGAAATAGTCTTTTCAACATGAATTACTCTACAAGTGGCTGCATGTATAAGCATACCTACCCAATAGAGGCAACAGACTTTTCTCTAGGAATCATTGCCAAGTCAGTGCTCCTGAAAGAGCCCCTAAAAACACCTGAGCTGATTATAATTTCATCATTCAAATAAACAGTTTTCTTTTTTGCTTTTAACATTGACTATCAGTGATTCATTTTTCTTTGTCCACTTTCTTTCTTTTTCCCATCTGTGATAATTAATTTTTTATTGTATTTTTAATTTTTTTAAATCATGTTTATTCTATTACAGCTGTCTCAATTTTCCCCCTTTACCCTCCTCCACCCATCCCACTCATCCCACTCGCCCACAGTCAATTCCCACTCTGTTGTCCATGTCCATGGGTCATTCATACATGTTCTTTGTTTAGTTCCTTCTCCTTCTTTCCACTATTGTCCTCCTTCCCCATCCCCTCTGGTCACTTTCAGTCTGCTGCATATTTCCTTGCCTGTGATTTATTTTGTTCATTAGTTTATTTTGTTGAATAGATTTCATGTATAGGTGAGATCATACGGTATTTGTCTTTCACCGACTGGCCTATTTCACTAAGCATAATATTCTTCAGTTCCATACATGTTGTCACAAAAGGTAGGAGTTCCTTCTTTCTTTTTTTTAAAAAATGTAGATTGATTTTATTTATTTATTTTTTTAATGTCAAGATCCATTATAAAATATTAAAAAATTTAAAACCATTATAAAGTCTCAGTAATGATGACGCCTGCACAGAAATAATCAAGTAGATCAATGAAATAAAATGAGCATTCTAGAAACAAACATATGTATCTTTCAAACAATGTAATATATGATTAAATTGATATTTCAAATCAATGGGGAAAATAAGGCTTATTCAACATATAAGGTGCATGGATTACTATTATTTGAAATAAAACAAATATAGAGCCCTATTTCACACATTATACAACAAATATTCAGGTGAGTTAAAATCAATATGTAAAATCTAAGGAGTTTTAGGAGAAAATACAAAATAATGTATTTCTTACCCTGAAGTAACATATTCAAACCCAGAAGCTATAAAGTAAAATATTGAAAATATAAAAAATGTAAGACTACACAGTAATATACATGTAAAAAAAGTTAAGGGACAAGTAATAAAATAGGAAAGTATTTGCAACACATCTATCAAAAGGTTAATAGTTTTGGGGTTTTTTGGGGGAAAAAATTCTACAAACCATTAATCGGAAAATAGATAAAGAATACGAAAAAGTCATTTAAAGCTTTTTTTTTAAAAATACAAATATACAAGAAAAAAACAAAAACAGGTTTAGTTTCAACAAATAAAGTAACACTTAAAACAACACATCATTGTCACAATCAGATTAATAAGTATTAAAACTATTGGTAATATCAAGTATTGGTGACTGTGAAAGGAACTGGGTATTCATAGATTCTTTTTCTTCATCTTCTTAAAGCAGTCCCTTTAGCATATTTTGCAGTGCTGGTTTGGTGAAGGCATATTCTTTTAGCCTTCTTTTGTCTGAGAAGCTCCTTATTTTGCCTTCCATTTAAATTGAAAGCCTTGCTGGGTAGAGCAGTCCTGGCTGCAGGCCTTTGCTTTTCATGACTTGGAATGTTTCTTGCCATTCCCTTCTGGCTTGCAGTGTTTCTGTAGAGAAGTCAGCTGCTAGCCGTACCAGGGCTCCCTTGAATGTTACTAACTGTTTCTCCCTTGCTTCCTTTAGGATTTTCTGTTTGTCTTTGATATTTGCCATTTTAACGATGATGTGTCTTGCAGTGGGGCTCACTGCGTCCCTCTTGAAGGGGACCCTCTGTGCTTTCTCGACTCATGTGACTTTTTCTCTCCTGCAATTAGGGAAGTTTTCCATCATTACTTTTTCAAACAGGTTCTCTATGCCCTGCTCCTCTTCTTTTCCCTATTATATGGATATTATTAAATTTCAGGTTGTCCTGCATGTCCCTAAATGCCTCTTCATTATTTTTGAGTCTTTTTTCATTTTCTTGCTCTTTCTGGGAGCTTTTTTCTACCTTGTCCTCCAGCTCACTGATTTGATTCTCTGCCTCATCTAGCCTGCTTTTGATTCCTTCTACTGTGTTCTTCAATTCAGAAATTGTATTCTTCATTTCCTCTTGTCTCTTATTGATAGTTTCTATGTCCTTTTTCATGCTGATATAGTTTGCAGTAAGTTCCTTGTAGTTTCCCTGTAGTTTTTGGTAATTCTCTCTGAGCTCACTGAGCTCATTGAGTTTCCTTAGAACCATTGTTTGGAACTGAATATCTGATAATTTCCTTGCCCCTATATCATTTAGTTCTCTTTCTGGGGATTCTTCCTTTCCCTTTGCCTGGGGGAGTGTTTCTTTGTTTTCTCATTATTTGTGAGACTCTTCTTTTTTGCTTCTGCTTCTTAAATTCATCTGTCTTGATTTCCTGACTTTGTAGGGTAAACTTCTATGGTAGGAAACTGCTGTTTGGTTTTTTTTTCCTCTCTGGATCTGCCTCTGATAATGTCAGATGTTGACCCTGTCTGACCTTAGGCAGTCTGTTTGAGACTTCCAGGAATCTACTGTCTGTGGCTGTCCTTCAACTGTTAATCAAGTGACTCTGCACTCAGCAGTCAAGCTCAGAGACACTACAGGGTGGGGAGTATCCCTCCTGTGGGTGGGGTTATTGGGTCCTCTCATGCTACTGCTGCTCATGGGAGTGGTCTGCCTGAGACAGATGGCTGCTGCCATATGGGGGAGGAGTCAGCACCAGAATCCTACCAGCTACTGTCTCCATTCTCTCCCCAAAGCCTCCATCTCCAGTCTCTCCTCAAGTGTCTCTCGACCACTCTGCATCCCCTTTAGCCATGGATCTATTATTTGTGGCTGCCACTCAGCTGTAACGTTTTAGCACTACCGGGCCTAGGCCAAAACTCCTGGGGTCTGGGCTATTGGGTCCTCTCATGCTGTTGCCACTCAGGGGAGTGATCTGCCTGAGCAAGATGATTGCTGCCATTTGGGGGATGAGTCAGCACTGCGATCCTGCTGGCTACTCTCTCAGCTCTCTCCCCAAAGCCTCCTTCCCCAGTCTCTCCTCAGAGGTCTCTAGCTCACTCTACCCCCACCTTTGCTGGAGCCCAGAGTAAGTGGCTGCAAATAAAAATTTATGCATTGGCCCTTTGCATCTCCACCCACCCTTCTCTGGCAGAGAGCAAATGTGCCACTTTTTCGCATCTGGCTGTTATCTGTGTACTTTTTGGGCTCTGGTGTTGTAGGCTGGAGATCCCCACTTATGGTTTAGACCTCGCTCATCTCAGGGGGATCCAATTGGCCATTTCAATATTTCTTCTGGTGCTGTCCCCCATGGGTGCACCGCCCGCCTTCTTGAGTCTCTACCACTCTCCTTACCAGTTAGGTTGTGCTAAAGCTTATTCTTCTGTGTGCCTGAGGTTAAAAGGCTCCTTTCTTGCTATTGCTCAGTTGTTTGTTTCAGGTGGTTTCTTCACAATTTAGTTGTAATTCTAGTTGTAACTCCATTGGAAGGAGGTTAGTGTGACTTCCACTCATTCCTCTGCCATCTTGATTTTCCTCTCTTTGTCCAGTTTCTAAAACTTCATCTCCCAGCAGGCTTTTAAGTACAGCCCATATTTGCATTTAAGTCCAAGTACACTGTTAACTAGAAGACATCTGTGGAGAGACACTGAGCCAAAACATTTTCTGGAAGCACTGCTTCTCTTCTGGTTTCATTCTGTGTTTCTGACAATCCTCCTTAGATGCTTGCATTGCAGGTTCAGTCCTGCCCCCTCAACAGTGAGGCCCTAAGCACTCCTTTATTACACTCCGTTTTGTTCCTGCAGTAGGTCCTCTAGGGCCTCAGCCATCCCTTGCTCTGTAAGCCCCACCTCTACATCCAGCTCTTTTCCCCTGCAGCCCAGCACTTCTCAAACTTCCATCTGTGTGCACAACACTGGGACTCTGAAAATACAGGGGATTGTGGGGCTGCAGCGCTGACCATCCTGGTGATGCTCATGCTGGACGCTGACTGCTCCTGGGGCCAAGATATCCACTGCCAATTGACTGCCTTCCTTGCCCAGGTGCTGCCCAACCAGGAACCAGCCTCTTTGCAAAGTCCTTGCTTTCTCTCAGG